ATATCATTGTGGGAAAATTCTACTACCAGTCCTTCATCACCTTACATGAAATAGGGGGAATACATCTCATCACACTGATTTACTGATATTCTCGAAACCCTACTTAATTATGACTATAAAAAGTAGGCAGGATCGTAGCCGGTCATCTTTCATGTCTTCGTGGTGTGGAGAATTTTCCCAAAATTACGTGTGCGACGACCTACTGGGACAAATCTTCAATCACAGCTCCAAGCCTAATCCCACACCAACTTCTGCTGAGGCCAACCGTGCACTGCCTTCCACTCGCAGCTTCAAACGAAACGAAAAGTAGACCAACATAACATCCACTTTATTTTAGCCTCACGCTTTTCCTTCCACCATCCATCGGCCGTTCTAATGTCAACAAGCAATCTCTACTCAATGCCCCAGATTCGATGCATCCATTCGGAGTCGCAGATACATTCTTTGACCTCGGCGCTTTGCTGATCTTCAACCTCGTTCTGAAAGGGCACTGGTGAATGTTAGGCCAAAAAAGGAGGGCACCAGTCCCGAATGTGAGGCTCTGCTTGGCCCATTATTTTTGGGGAGAATCAAACTACATTTCCATAAATGCACTGCTTTTTTTCTCGCCCATGCACACACAAGTAAACACACGCACGCACACAAAGGCATACACACATACAAAAACGTAAAATTGTGTAACTAAGTCGGGATTAGCAGTAGTCGTTCGGACGGATGACGGATTAAAACGATAAAACCGTCATAATACAGCAGAGTAAGTATGAAAGGAGACTTGTCCTCGAGACATCTTGTGGTACATCAGCGCCGATTTCAACTTCATTATAAAACATCTTTTTCAGTTGTGGCAAAAAGGGGAATGTGTCTTTGGCTTTGCCCAATCAAAATCATGCTTCTCTTAGTCTCTGGAATAAAGCTTTCATTTTTTCAAGTGGCCAGAGCTAGAAGAGCCAACATTGAACCCTCATAGATGCACATACACAACCAGCAATATGCATAAACAGATACACTTCAACACACAAATAGTTCAGCTGACATACGAAGCTGTAACAATGGGCTTCCGATCTCTGAGAGTGCATGTTATGTTGTATGATTGATGAAAGCTGTCCTACGAATTTCATCAGCATCAACTTGGCACACGCACAAATACACACACACCAACAATAATGTTGTCTTATGGCAGGCTTGGAAGCCCAGATGCATTCGGTTGTCACCGACGTGTGATCATGTCGTCCAGCCAGCCGGCGTAAGGCGGACCCCCTACCCTCGAGACGTTGGTAGCATGTCACTTTAGGTAAGCGCGAGTGTGACAAGTAAGAGAGAGAGAGAGAGAGAGAGAGCGGAAGGAGAACGCCGTCCAACGCGCCGTCCTGTCGCCAGACCCTCGAGGCGAATTGCTACAACAGTCGGCTTCGAAGCCTCTGACCCTTTCACTTCCTGTGGAGCAGGCTTTTAAAGGTCTGAACATGGCAACATGTTCTTCGAAAGTTCCATGACAAAAGGTCACTGAATGTTGAGTCAATCGAGGACGCCTAAAATTATTTCAAAACTGATGTCTACTAACAGCGATGATAAGTAGTAAGATGGAAGATACAACTTGGCTTATTGACACTTGATATGATTTAGAGGAGGCTTGGCTTGACCGAAAGATCACATCTGAACTGATGATGAGTTTCCACTTGATGAGCAGGAATGGAGTCTGAATCCCATTTGGGATGTAGACGGTACAGCGAGATCACGTCAAAAGTATATTCCAAGTTGGGCGGGAAGACGTCTTCAGGGTTCAAACAGTTGGTTGTCGAGAATTCAAACGTCTTTTCCTCCCTCATTATCGGCAACCTAAGCTGACACTACTTAATTTGAAAGGTCTAATGTGAGACTCGAACCATGCGCAGCCCTTCTACAGAACATGATCCATTTCTCGATTGACGTTTTGCTCCTGTTGGCAAGGCTTTCATTTTGTATGAAGGTGCATGAATAAAAGCTTCCGGAAGACGACGGCCGAATCTCGTTGCACTGCCGTCGTTTGGCTTTAATACAACATTAAAGGTTGACACATTCTACGAAACATCCTTCCTCGTTTCGGGTGAAAACGGGCTCATTTTTCATCCACCAAATGGTGATGCATTTAATCTATTTCTATCTCGTCCAGGTCTTATCAACATCCCCAGCGGGACTCGAACCACGACGGTGCGGCATGTAATCGCGACTCGTCAGCCACTACGCCGCATTGCCACGAGCGCCCTTGAGTTGCAGGGAAAGTGTGCATTTCAACGAAAGCCAGGCAAATGTCCACATCACATTCTTTGGTGAGGTTGTCGATAAGGCCAACTAGTTTTTGAAATAACATTAATAACATACTACTTATTATTCGAATATAAGTAAGCTTTCGAGACTACCAGCAAATGAGTAGTATGACATGTTCCTTCGTGACTTTCAACGAAA